TTGATAAAAAAAAATATTAGCTACTCTATATTAATTATAACAATATTACATAATTTTAATTTATAATTATTAGGTTTCAGACAAAAAATGCTTAATGATAGTATATAATTAACATTTATATTAATATTAACTACTATAATATTTATTACCTCTTTTTTTTGGTTAAATGGAGAATTTAACCAAATTCAATTCCATAAATAATAAAATTAAGGACATATATATATATACTAATTAAATTAATTTTAAATTAACAAATATTTTAATTTACAATTAATATTACATCATTTTTTTATAATGAGCATTAATGAATATACTATTTATTATTTTTTTGTAATTGAGAATTTAATAAAATTTAATCTCTATAATTACTAATCGAATGTAATTTCAAATTATTTTCACCAACAAAAATGGTGTTTTTCTTATAGTTAATAATAATTACATAATATTTATTGTCTTTTATTTTTTATAACAACCATTTTAATCAAAATTAATTAGTCTCTTAATTGTTGATTAATATAATTATTAATACTCTTGGCTAATAAAATAATCATTTTATATATAATTACTAATTAAATGTAATTTCAAATTATTTTGACCAACAAAAATATTTTTTCTTATAATTAATAATAATTACATAATATTTATTTTTTATAACAACTATTTTAATCAAATTTAGTCTCTTAATTTATTATTAATATATTTATTAATATATATATATATATATATAATTACTAATTAATATAATTTGAAATTATTAGTTATTTAATACAAATTGTAATGATATTATATAATTTATCACAATTATTAATGTTTAATAATAGTAATAATAATTTGCTAATTGACCCCTTAACATCAAGCAACCACTTTTTATAGCATCCACTATCAATTGTAACAATTCATCGGAATCATCCTTGGTCTAAGTTTCATAGTTTTCTTTATCTTTTCATTTTTCTTTATTATTTCCTTGTGAATCTCTCATTTGAATTATTAAAACAATATATGTTAAAAATTAGTTATATAAATAATTATGGATAAGAGACAAAATCAATAAAATTATATTATTATTTTTCGAAGTACATCAATCATACAAGATCGAATATATCTTGGCTATCCAAATGGATCAAATACCTCAACCATTATAAAAAACATGTAAAAACGAAAATATAGAAACATAAGATAATTTTTTATATAAAAAAATCAGTATATTATATACTGAGAAAATATTTAAATATGTAAAAAAAAAATTTATATAGACGGAAGTATTTAGATATAGAGAATATATATATATATATATA